TCAATTAAGCACACATTGATTTCTTAAGATTGCTGATGGCAGTTCCATGTCTCATGTTACATATTATATTTATTTATTATTTTTATTTATATTCTAAGATTCCAACTTAGCGCATTCACAACGCCTAACAACAGAAACTGTTAAAACAGCAACCAGTATAATCATTAACCTTAGAACAATCATTCAACTCAAAAGAATCTTGAGGGACTCCATAATTCAAATGCTATGAGGAAACAGCCATTTAAATAGAATTGAAAACCTCTAATACAGTGACCCCCTCATCCTATCTCCAACCGTCTATCCAGAAGGTTACCACCATTGATGGAATCCAAAGTTGTTGATAAGTCTAGCAGAACTAACAGAGATCCACTTCCCCTAGCTTGGGTTAGGTTATGTTGAGTCTTTAAGGTGATCCCACAGAATAGGAGTGGGCAATTAATTTTCCCAAGTGTCTACTTGAGAAAGTGGTACTGTTCGGGAGGCCTACCACCTCCCATCATCACTATGGAGGGCTGCCTCCCCCCAATGGACAGGGACAGTCAAAGGGCCAGATGTGGCCCATGGACCGTAAAATGTCCGCATCTGCCATGGAGCAAGCAAAAAGTCTGCCAAAGATGCTACCTAGCCTGGTAACAAAATGTTCAGAAACCAAACCACAAGCTCAGAGAACAAACCTTCACTCTCATCCTATACCCGAGCTACAGATATTTCGCCACCATTGCAAAATAGATTCTGTTCCATTACCAGACTTCAACCCACATTGAAAAAGATCTAGAAAATCTGTATCATCTGAGAGAGCCTGGAGTTGATTGGCCACCGATAACAAAGGAAAAAGGAAAAGCATATTAGCCACTGACCTAGGGTTGTTTTCATCGTCTGGGACCAGAATTGATTTCTTCAGAAATGGCCTGAGAATTGCCTCTTTTGAAGAGACTGCAACTGCATCCATCTCTCTGAGGCATTTATAGCCTTTGGTGCTGGCCAAACAGCCCCTCCCTATTAAATTAAATAAGCCGAGAAGGGCCAGAATTGAGTACGTGTTGGTATTTCAAACACTTCAGCTCAACAATAGAAACTCATGCAATAAAATAGAACAGAGTGGTGCTCTGGACACTTCCGCTTCTGGAGTTGCCTTAAATGCAGAGACTGCATGCGGTATGTTATACTGGAATCAAGAATAGGGAGCTGGCAGTGAATACAATTCTTTTACCACAGTTAATATTAAAATTCTATTACCCTAATGTTTTATATCATAGTTTTGATGTATACATTGTATGCAAAGCAATACATAATAATTTATGTACGCAAATGTATTCCTTAGATTTTTGAACATATTCCTTTTGCTAGATTCTGCTCAAACTTGTTAGTCTGGAAGAGAGCATATATTCACCTTTCACCTGTATTCCAAGATCCAAAGTATTTCATTTCTGAAATTTAGTTCATTATTAAAAGTTATGGCAATCTGACTGAGTATTCATTAGATTCCCCCTCCTTTTTTATAACGCTACTAACCTAATCTTACACCTTTCTGATACAGATTTTCTAGGTATAAGATTATTTTTTCCCACCCACATGATTTCCCATGGCCCTCCTAATGGTTTCAAGATACCTGTGCTCAGGGCTTTTTTTGTCATAGAATGCCCAGAACGGAGTTCCAGCACTTTTTTGGGATGGAACCTTGTAGGGGAGGCAAGGCGGGTTGTATAACGTGTGTGAGTTCCAGTACCTTTTTTTTTTTTTTTTTTTACAAAAAAAGCACTACCTGTGCTAAAGATAAAAGTTTTCATATCAGCCCTGGATGCTATTTTTTTTCTATGAGTCTCAGCAAACTGAAGAATATATTACGCCAGAGTTGAGATTAATACAATTATTATTAGCTTCAGGAAACTGGCTAAATGTTTATTCAGAGGTAAAATTTAAAATGGTAGTATCTTCATATGGTTCCATAATTCATTTCAGTATTCATAATCATTTAACCTATGATAAAGGGTAGTACCATCTAATTATCTGTTAGAGGAAGAAGAATTGTTTTCCATAATTTTCTTGAGGGTTATATTAAATTATATAATATACAAAATTTTTCAAAGTGCAGAGAAAAATAAAAAAGAAGTAAAAAAGAAAAACCAAACAAATTCTCAGCAAGCATAATCAACATTAACAATTTCACTCTGCCTTAAAATGTAACCAAATATTTCCATACCTCACCCCTTTTTCTATAAGCCCATCTCTGCATATTCGGCTCATTCTTAATCAAGAAAAGTCCAGAAAGGGTTATCAGAAATAACAAATATTATATCTCTATTTCCATTTAAACAAATTCCCCCTAATCCCTCTCTTCAAATAGGCAAAATCCAGTCCTAATTAAAAAGAATCATAACAAACATCTAGTCCCAATCAAAAAAGCGTTAAACATCACCAGAAATAGTAACCCATTATTAATATATAAAAATAACGTATTACAAATAAATCCATTGCAGCAAATTAAACATTACCTAAAGTAATTATCATTTTTCAGTCCCAATTAAAAAAAATTAGATATCATCAGAAATAGCAATCCATTATTTTAACCATAATTAAGTGAACCAATAAATTTCTCACATCTGATTTCTCGTATTCTCTACACTCGAAATTTTTATCTTTGGCAAAGTCCTTTTGTAATTCCAGTATAGTAAATCCCCTCATATTCCAATATAAGAAAATAATCCACATTGTTTCTTATTATTTGTATATCTTTTTAAATTTTTAAATCATCATCCAATTCCATTTATTAAGCCAATATTTTCATCTCTTTCTTGAAACTTTTAGTTTTTGAACCTACCTTAAAGTTCATTTCAGTTTTATTCAATGGGATTTGTTCCTCTTCAATAATACCTTTTGATTTGTTTCTAGAATTAAATAACTCCAAAACCTCTTGGACCTAAACATAAATATTTCCTTTAGTTCAAACTTTTCTTGCCAGTTCAAAATATAAACAAAAGAGTTCTTCCCAGGAGAGAGGATCCTTTTAATTAACTTCAAAGTCTTTCTTTAATTCAAATTCACCTGAACCTATAATCAATTTAAAAACTTTTTGAAATCAGCACTGTAATCATCCTTTTGCTGTAGTAAATTGCAAAGAAAAAAATACTTATAAAACTTGAAGCACATAATTTTCTTCTAAATGGATTGAAGAGAAACTCACCTAATGAATTCCACAGTTCTGAAGCTTTTTAAATCTTTAAAAACCATAAGGAAAAAACTCTCCAAAGTGATTCCAAAGGTAAGGTTTGGGGGAACTTTGAATCCATAAAAGGCTACATTGGCAGCTCTGAGCACAATGGATTCCTATGACACGTAACTGATAGCAAGAGTCTACAAAAACATCAGTTTCTGCTGTCTACTCACAGAAAAAAAAATTGTCCAGAGTATATAAGGGTAATCCCAAAATCTCTTCTTGATCCAGAGAGAATTTTTGACAGTCTGGATGCAATATCCATCTGCGTTTTTGGCCACAATATTTCTCACAATCCAATGAATGTCAGTTTGCCAGTCCTCACCAAAAGTGACTCTTGAGAGGAGGAGGAATTGATAATCCATCTTGTGAAAAGTGTGGGTGCTTCTGGAAGTCAATAGTATAGGGAAATTTACATTTTATATTAAACATGATTTTAAAAAATATTTTAATGTGGTTACTATAAGACAGGTATGTCAAACTGCTGGCCCACAGGCCGGATGCTTCACGACAAAACTGCGCCCACCCCATTGCCAGCAATGGAGAAAAAGTCGCGATAGGCTAAGGCCGAGGGAGGGATCATACGCATCATAAATCATGAGTCCCTGCGCACCTGCAAGTCCAGCTCACCCTGAATGCCTTCTTAATTTCCACTTGTTTTTCTTGATCTTCCTTTAGTAGCTTAGGGTTTTGTAGAGAGCTTAAGCTTGCAATAAATCTTTATACTCATTTGAACTGTCTAGATCTTCTGATTTCTCTGGTACTTGACCGTTTCTCTTTTTTTAAGGGATATGAGGATAAGCGTATGAGAATTAGGAGCAAAGGACACAACTGCCAGTTTTCCACTGAAAATCTTGCAGCTGATAAATAGTAGTTGGGAGGATTCATGGAGCAACAGATGGTGAACCCCATTTATATCAAGAATATGTTCTGAGCATATTGGATATGTGGGTTGCCAAAATTAGAAGGAAAATTCTGTATCTTATTTGCAACAGTAGATTCTGTGTGTATGTGTTTGAGTGTGTGTGAGTATTTGAGTATTTATTGGAGAGGATAACTGGTTAACTGGTAAAATAAAAGTTTCTAAATCAAGACTGCACATAGCCTCTTTTCCCATGTTTTTTTTTTAAAAAAATCCAAGTAGTCCTTGAGTTACGGTTGCAACTGGGATTGGAATTGCCATCACTAAACAAAGTGGTCATAAAGTGCAGTGTCACATGACTGCATCTCTTAGCAGTAGCAATCCAGGCAGTCCCAGTTATCACCATCACACCAAGACACGTGGGTCATTAAACAGGAGGCAGAAGTCCCAGGTAAAGAATGCATGGATGCCGCAGAGAGATGGCGGAGGCACTGGGACCACAGGCTATACATGAGTTGGGGGGGGGGGTGCAGCGGTGCAGCACAAGCTCAGGAAAGTAGGGGAAGGAGAGCACAAGGTGGATCAGTATAGGTGAGTCACAATAGTCTTTGGGTCAGAATCAGGAACTGTACGGAACTGGAAGCAAGGGAGAAGTGAGAGAATAATTCGGGTGCAGAAAATTATAAACACACATAGCTGTAAATCTCAAATTACTTGATTGAATTCCCTTTAGTTGAGATATTCATTTAATCTCATAGACTAACATTCCATAAATAAATTTGTAACAGTCTTTAGAGGAATGAAGCATAACTTCCCTCAGTATTATGCAAAATACAGATACTAACAGTATTAAGAACAATAAGAGAAAGTTATTACATGTTTTGTGTTCACATTAATTTATAGTTTAAAATATATTTACATCTCCAGAACGCAGAAATCTCAGTTTTTGAAGTAAACATCCGTTTTGTTGGAGGATTACTTTCAGCATACTATCTTTCTGGCGAAGAGGTAAGATTGGATGTGGTGTTTGTTTGTTTAGTGCCTTTGAATCATTATTGACCCCTGGCATTCGCCTGACTAGTTCCTTAAGTCTTTTTGCCCAGATTTACTCTTGTCTCATTCCTTTGGCTGAGAAGGAATGAGTGTCGCCCAGCCTACGGCAGGACTAGAACTCACGATGTCCCAGCTTCTAGCCTCAACCCTTGTTTCTTCTGTTTTATTAAAATAATCCTGTTTTTCTCTGTGTTATGAGTTGGTCTTTTGTTAGCTGACAGGCAAGTTTAGTTCATAACAGTTTGAAGTATCATCTCATGCTCACCCTTATTCCCATCAAATATTTTTTAAAAAATAAAAGTGTAATTAATACTCTGTTTTATATTAACAGAACCTGATTTAGCCAAATTGCCAAATATTTCTAAAAAGTTTTGGAAAAATATTCTGAATTTTATCTGAAATTTCAGATTAAAATATAGAAATCTTGTGTTCATTTTCTCCTGTGTTGCATAACTCTTTATTTATTTTCATTTTTAGATATTCCGAAAAAAAGCAGTAGAATTAGGAGAGAAGTTGCTTCCAGCTTTTAATACCCCCACAGGAATCCCTTGGGCATTATTAAATATCAAAAGGTAAAAGCTTACCATTTAACCTACACTGAATAAGTTAATCTTGCAGACCAACTTTCCTGTATTCCTTGTCACTTAAGTTCCTTGATCCCCTGAATTGCTACCAGGTAGTCATTTCTCCTATGTTTTGTTGCAAATTGCAAGCACAGCTGATTTTCAGTGTAAGTCAATAGGAGCAGCAGGGAGCAAGACAGAGGCTTTCCATTACTAGCAAAATCAGGTCCATCCTGGGGACATGGCCATTTTTCAGTCAGGCCATTAAACTTAATATTTCCAGCTTTCAACCCAGGGATCAGTGAGACAAATAGTTAGAAAATCTTGCATATATCTCAATCCATGATTGTTTTTTAGAACTGGAAGCAATGGTGGATATTCCAGTCTTCCATGATACTAAGTCTGATCCAGGTCTTGTTGCCATACTGAAGTTAAGCTGTATGAATGGAAACAATAGCTTTTGGTTCTGAAAACAAACGATGAACATGTGCTGTAAAGGTCACAATTAAGTATATGAACTGGAACCTTTTCTTTCCCAAATCGCTGTTCCTGAAGCATCACTCATAACTGCAGAATCATCTCAAATAAAAGCTGTTTCTAAATCTTCTTTCTTAAAATTTTAAGTCCACCATTTTTTTCATACAAATCAGCTACATTTTTTCAGAATCAATGTTGTTCAATTAACAAAATGTCTAAAATCAGCAGTTGGGTCTATAGCTCAGGTATATTAACTCTACTAGAATAAAAACAAGTCACATCAAGAAAGTTTTAAAAACTCAACATATAAAAAACAATTTCACATAAAATAATATGAACTAGAATGAGAAAGATGCTTGAAGGAGGAGGGTTTTAGTAACCTACATAATTAGTAATCCAGACCTGGAGTAGGAACTATTTGGTATGGGGGGTGATATTTCCTGCACAACTCCCTATAGTTTTAGTATAGAGTTCCTATGCAGTTTTGGGCGATCAATCACAGGTTTTGAATTGGTAGAATCATAAGACTACCCTAACAAAGTAGCTCTCTAATTATAGAGCTCTTTATTAAGAGAAGGGGATTAGCTCCCTCCTTACTCTTCTTTGCACTGACAATATTTTTATACAATGTCTTGGCATGTCTTCTCAGAGTTTATTGTATGAGTTTTGCAGCTGTGTTTCTTAGTTCTACAATGTTTAATTAATGTGTCTGTTTTGGTTGGAGTATTCATACATTTAATTAATAGCCTGGGCACCCTTCTTCCATTAATCAGATGGAAGATATATACTTATATACTTATTTATCAAAATAATATTCATGGAAATCTCATCAGAAGTGTGTGGTCTTGAAGCAAAACAAAAACAATAAAACATTCCTGGCTCCATAATTTCCTAAATAATACGGACGATACAATATTGGTGGGCCTCATTCAGAATGATAATGAGGGTGATTACCAGGAGGAGGTAGAGAGTTTGATGAACTGGTATAATAAAAACAGCCTGGTTTTGAATGTAGGACAGTATCTGAGGGGCTGCCACAAAGAAGAGGGGGCCAGGTTGTTCACCGGAGCACCAGAGGGAAGGACGAGAAACAATGATTGGAAGCTTATCAAAAAGAATTAAGGAGAAACTTCCTGACAGTGAGGACAATCAACCAGTGGAACAGCTTACCCCCCGGAAATCATGGACAGTCCATTGCTGGAAGTTTTTTAAAAAGAGACTGGACAATCACCTGTCTGAGATGGTATAGGTCCTCCTGCTTGAGCATGGAGCTGGACTAGAAGACCTCCAGTGTCCCTTCCAATTCTGCTCTGCTCTGCTCTACTCTACTCTACTCTACTCTACTCTACTCTACTCTACTCTACTCTATTCTATTCTATTCTATTCTATTCTACAAACCAAAGAGATTGCTATTGATTTCAGAAAAGGCAGGCTCAGCCATATACATCTGTATTAATGATTCAACTGTGGAGGTGGTAGTATTAAGGTTCTGGGTGTGCAACTGATGAAAAGGTTAGTTTGGTCGCTCAACAGTGAAATACCAGTAAAGTGGGCACAGCAGAGCCTGCATTTTCTGAGCTGTATGAGAAGAGCACATCTTCCTTCCCCTATCCTTATCATTTCCTATAGAGGTACAATTGAAACCATCCTGCCATATTGTATTAGTGCATGGTTTGGAAATATTACTGTTTTGGACAGAAAGGCTGTGCAGAGAGTGGTGAGAATAGCAGAAAAGATTATTGGTAATTCACTTCCTTTTATCCATATAAGCGTCATTTGATCCGGGTCTGCAGTATTGTCAGTGATGCTACACATCTTCTTCATGAGCACTTTTCTTTATTACCTTCTGAGAGGAGGCTTTTATGGTATCCAAAGCAGAACAACTAGATTCTGTAATAGCTTTATACCATATAATATCAACCTTGTTAACTGTCAAGACTCTTTTTTCTGCTATGTATTCAAAATGGAATGTGGTGTGTGTGTGTGTGTGTGTGTGTATGTGTGTGTGGTTTGTGTAATATTAATCATATAATCATTAATATGTGATTATATTAATCATATACATATACATTTTGTGAGCGGGCATCAGAATTTCATTTTTTAATGTGTGCCATTGTGTTCACAGAAAAACGTGACAATAAAGGTTATCTTATCTATTTCCCACCCGTTTTTCTAAGTTCAAATATTGTGGTCAGAAAAGTGCCTAAGGTCTAGCTATTTATAATTTTAAAAAATCCAGGAAGATAGAAAAAGAAAGAAATTTTAGATATCAAGAAGTAACTAAGAAGAAAGATTTTCCAGAGAAAACCCATTCAAGTACTTTCACGTTCTGTGGTCTTTTGAACATCAATATGTGAATGTGTAATGGTTTCTCAAATTAAAATTATTGTTAACAACATTCTTAGGTTTACTCTATTTTTATATAGGAACTTCATTAGAGTATTCATAATCACAAAAAATGATGCAACAGTACACCTGCCCTGGGAGTATTGATGAAACTTGATTCTTAAGTAATGATCTTCTCTGGCTAATTAACTAACAATACTGATAGGGGAGAAAAAGCAAAAGAAGATAATGTTGAAATGTTCAAAAGAGAAATTCCTTTTGAGCTGACAGTTATCTTGCTTCAACAAATAGTTAAATACAGATGTTGGACTCCAATTTCCTTCAATCTCCTTTGATTCAAGGATGAAGAGAGATGGGAGTTCTAAACCAGAAAAAATGTAGACAACATTCAATTTCACACTACTTTAAATTAAATTTCTCCACTTCACTTAACTTTACCCTACCTTTTTTTTTAGTGGCATTGGTCGAAACTGGCCCTGGGCTTCAGGTGGAAGCAGTATTTTGGCAGAATTTGGAACACTTCATTTGGAGTTCATACATTTAAGCTATTTATCTGGAAATCCGCTGTTTGCTGAAAAGGTTAGATTTCTATTTTAAATGGCCTATCAATTGCTAACCAAATATCTGGAATTTATACATTTTTTTATTTAAGTATAGATCCTCTAGACATAATAGTTTCAAAGTTTCTTAAAATTATAGTGACCTTAACCTTGTATTACTAACAAATGAAACTTTGAGAAAGTATTCATGTAACACTAAAACAAGGTTAGCATTAAAGTAAAATCTCAGATTCACATGTTTCTCTCTTCTACCCTTGCAGCTAAAAGAATTAACTCTTTGCCTTTCTTGGAGATCTTATTCAACAAGAGACTAGTTTAATTTAAATATTGATTAGACCAAAGGTTTTGTACAATAATTTCACTTTTTAAAAATTGATGTTTTATTTACTTGCCTTTATGTTTCAATTATATTTTCTATTTATATATTTTATTTTAGCTGTCCTCCATCTTATTTAATAGTGGACATAAATAAATACTACTAAAGTAAAATAAAGCAGAAAAAGAATTTGGGTGAGGGTTTTCTTCAGATAGTTGGTTTGAGCACAGACAAGCCAAGGTTTGCTGATAATGAAACTAAACTCAAAAGCTTCCTTCCCTATTAGTTACATGGGAGGAAAGCATAGGAATGGTAAGGCTCAGTATGATGGGGTATGGTAATCAATTGACCGTAGCCATGAGCTATAATAAGACACAGTTAAATGAAATAAGGTAAGATCCAATGAAGTGTGTTAAAATAGCCTATGGTGGAATAAAATAGATTAAAATATAGTGGATAAAATAAAGATAAAAGAAAAGGTAAAATAGAATGCAAAGGTAAAATAGAATGCAAAGATACGAAATGACAAAGTTGAAAAACAGTGTGTGCTTAAGTGAATTCATCACCATTGCATGCAACTCCAATGTATTCTACAAAACATGTTTTTTTATTGAACAGGCCTGACTATAAATGTAACAGTTCTAGTGACTACATACAGTATACATTTGTGCTTTGAAGGAAATAAGATAATCTTTAACAAAAGTCCCAGTGTGTGGTCCAGTCAAATAATGTATATAGGTACAGGGCCCTTGCTGTGGCATATAATTGACAATTGAATAGAACATGTGCAATATCTTCTATTGCTAATGCTCCACAAACATGTTCTCTCAAGACATGGCACTTGATAGAATTATCCATATTTGACCATAGTATATAGATGCTCAAATCTTGCTCTAGTAAGGGCTATCCTGTGGTATTGAAAAGCACAGGAAAAAGACAAGAGGCAGCCAAGGATTCTCTTAGGCTCATTCCACATTTCTCTTTATATTCATAAGCAGCATCTTGCCTGTGCTTCCATAATACTTGTTATGAACAATAGTCTATTCCAGTCCCTGAGCCAAGAAGGTACTTTCTAACTTTTGTGTTTGTAACATCCAAATCTATTACAGCTTTAAATGTGCTTTGTGTATAATCATAGATGTGGCTGTACGGTAAAAGATATAGTAAAAGATACAGTAAAATGAGATAACTTCTCCAAATGGAACTAAGTTATGTATTCAGTATTGATCTATTTTTACATTTCCATCCATGTCGGATATGTTTCCTTTAAAAAATATTGTTGATAAAGATCCATTACACATGTGCTTTGAGCAGATCCATTCCAGTGGAATATGTATCATGAAGGAAGCTGTTGCTTGAGTTGTTAATTAGTACCTTGAAGAAATACTTTTAAGTTATAATAATATTATGTCCAATATTTAAAGAATATTTTTATGAAAATGTATTATATGCATATGTTTATGTTAAAAAAAACCTCCATTTTTTTTTGTTTTGAAATAGGTTATGAACATTCGAAAAGTGTTAAATAGATTAGATAAACCAGAAGGACTTTATCCTAATTATTTAAACCCCAACAGTGGTCAATGGGGCCAGCGTAAGTACTTCTGTTTAATATAGTATCACAAAAGAAAAATATGTTTTTTAAGTTAGTTCAATTATGCTGTCAGTTTGGGTATTTCTCCTTGAATGATTGCTGCAGAGGTTAGTATTTTGTTTTCTGAACATTTGAAGGTATTTATTTTATGTATATAATACTGGGTATCTTAGCATCTTAAGTTATGGATTTTCATGTGCTAATTGTGGTAGAAAACTTGTCCAATAAAGCCAACAACTAGAGAGGATTCCAAATTATTGTTTATTTCATTAAACTAGCAGATTGCAATGAGTCGTTGATCTGTTACACCCTGAAGATCCAAGAGCAAAGGCTACAGTATTACATTTGTTTTGTATAAAATGTTAATTAACAACAGCCCTGTGCATGCATATACATTAGTAAAAGACCTCAGCTGAGAAAGAATTATTTTGTAACTCATAAGGATACTAGGCAACAGAAAAGAAGAGACAGGTACTGTATTCTTAATAGTATGAAAACTTCTTTGAAAGGAAACATAATCACTATGTTATACCGTACAAGTTGTACCAATTCTCTGTTATTCTAACTGGCTGTACTGTACTTTACTGCAGGAGAGATAAGGAAACACAGCAGTATGCTTCCTTAGAAGTGTGAACTTTAGAGCCAGTTAGTAACAGGCACAGATTAGCACAGTAGTAAAAAAATCCCATTCTTTTAAAAAGTGGTACATAAGAGATACAAGAAAGGAGATATACTATTGTATTAGTATGATAATACTATGTTAGTATATACTGTATTAGTACGAGCAAATATGTTTTTATTGATTCACATAATTAAACTCAAGTTCTTATTGAAACTCTCTACGCTGATAAATAAAACCCTTCTAAACCAAAGTTTTCCTTTTTATTTATTTTTATTTATCCAAGTCATATGACTGTCCATCACAACTAATGATTCTGGACAGTAAATAGCGTTAAAATAAAATAAAAACAATTATAAACTTTACAAAAGTTAAAATACACAACCAAGTAACATCAATCCCAAACACTTGCATAACCAAGAAGCTTGTTCCTGAATACTCTCAGGGCCCTGGACCCAACAGAGAATCAGGTTTTCAGGGCCTTACAAAAAGCCAGCAAGGTCGAGACCATTCTAATCTCTGGAAAGAGAATGTTTCACAAGCAGAAAAAAACACACATTTTTTGGCCAGCGGGATTTGAAGCACACCCATCCTGCCTGACTGGAGTGGATGGGTGAAAACAAGTGGGAGAGATGAGCCCTCAGGTAGCCCAGCTCTAGGTCTGGAAGAAGTTTAAAGATGTCAACCAGCACCTTAAATTGTACCCAGAAGCACAATGACAACCAATACAGCTCATGGAATAGTGGTGTTACATCCACAAAATAACTGGGTGTGTTGCTGCATTTTGTACCAACTTTGATAAAACATTTTGAAAATTATTAAAATCTCCAAAACATTATCACGGCAACTGATAAATATTGAACTGGGAGAGAAGAACATACTTAATGAGGCATTTAAGAACATGTTACTGTGAAACCAGCAAGCTATATCTTTGGTTTTATTGTTATTTTTTCTGTCCTTTGAGCTAGGCTTTTTTTTACTTTAGAAGTAAATTGAAAGTGATTTGAAGCATCACAGGTCAGTTAGATTTGTTTCAAGCAAAGATGGCTATAATAATAGGACTTATTATTGATGAGTCTCTGCTTGTGCTATTTAATTTGCAAATGTCAGGATTTTCTGAGGTAATTTATTTAGGAAACTGTAAAGATCATTTATATGGTGCTATTCAGATATAAACCTTCACCCTAAAAATACATTTTTTTATTATTTGTTTGTTGGAGCTCTCATTTTTCTATTAATTGAATTCATGAAATTTTCTTTACAATGGAGAAACCACTCTTCATACTTCTATCTTATCACATAAGGTATCTTTGAGAAGGGAAAGCAAAAGTAGCATTTTTAAAAAGAAAATGCCAAATTACAGGTTGTTAGCATAAAAACTTTCTTTAAAGAAGAAACCTTTAATAAGGAAAAAAAAAATTCTGTGCATGTCTGTCCTTTTTTAGAGGACAACCTACCTCTCTTCATTTTTAATGGCCATAATTTGAGACCTTTTAAATGTACAATAAGTTGTCCTTTCTCCTCTCTCCCCAAATAGCATGCATATAATTCTCTTTAATTTAAAGCTATATTCAGTTTGCAAAAAAAATCAAAATCCATTTTTTAATTATACCATTTTTAGGGATCACCAAAATAACACAAAAGTAATTGTTTACATTCTCCAGAATTCTTAACAGGTCAAATTGTTATAAAAATCAGGGAATGCGGAAAAGGGAGAAAACACTTCATTATAACAGCAGCTTAAATTATTCACAAGTAAAAAAGAATGGATCCAACCAAAATAGGTTTGTTGGGGATTAGGAATTGCTTGTTTCAACATGGGGGGAATTGGGCCACATATTTAAATCCTTGTTATGACTACAGAGCATCATGTTTTGAAATAGTGTAGTCTAATGGGATAGATATATCAAAGAAGATACAGTAGAGCTTGATAATGTGGCTTTTCTATAGTATTTTGCCATTAATTTTTTTGTCTTTGGGATTGTGTGTATATAACATTCCCAGATTGCTCTTGCACTTTTTTCCCAGATCATGTCTCTGTTGGAGGACTTGGGGATAGTTTTTATGAATATTTGCTGAAAGCATGGTTGATGTCTGATAAGGCAGATGAAGAAGCCAAGCAAATGTATTATAACGCTGTTCAGGTAAACACTATAGAGAATTTGGGACACTATTATATGTAACTGTGAAAGCAAGTATTACGATAGGGTTTTTTAAAAACGTTTTGACTCTATATACTCCTTTTATAAATATAAATATTAAGTAACTTCACCTAAAGATTTAGTATACTTTTCTGTAAATGACAATGTTATAAAGAAGCAACTTTTTAAATAGCAAGCAAATTAAAACAATTTTATTTGTATAATGAAGATGGAAGTTGCGGGTTATTGGAGATATTTAGGTTTAGTTCATGTCTTTATATAAATCAATTTAACGAGTTGGACTATTGCTTCTTAAAACAGTTGAATCAAATCACCTAAAGCCAGTCTCCAAAGGATTATTGCATTGACAAAGCAGTTCTTCCCTTTACTGTGGCAGCTACTCCATTACATGTAGTGGCTTTTTAGGCATTTCATGCTTTAGAAATGAAGAAGAGAAAGTGTGAGAAGACAGTGGAAAATGAATTAGGGTTTTGTTTTGTCCCAATGTGCCAATAGTTTACATTTACCCCACATTTCCTTTTATTTGCCATTCTATTTGGGAATCTTTTTGTTGCAAGACTAACTTGATTTTTCCACCCTTACCTGGGCCAGCTCACTCATCATTCTGAACTCCAAATCATTTTTGAACAAGTTCCTTGTTCAACTAATAAGCTCAAACATCTCTTTAGAAACTTCCATTTCAACAAAGCCCACTGATTCTGTTTGCTTTTCTTAAAAATAATCTAAAATTGAAAAATCCATAAGAGGATCTGTTTTCCTATCCCACACCTTAATCTGCTCAAAAACCTTTGCTTAAGGGCTTTGTCATACATTTTGGGCTGGGTTGGGTTGGTTTCGTTTTGAAAGTTTAAATTTACTTGTCTGGGTTTACATATCACAGTATGCCATGATATTTTAGCCATGCTCCTTGAATCAATTATAATTGACTAAATTCACACAACACCATTCCAAGCAACCCATATTATAGCTTACTATCATGTATGACTTAGCTATTGTCTACCAAATCACCCCATTCTAAATACTTGTTAATACATTCAGAGTTAATTCAAAGGTTTTTGAGACAATGATTCCCTTTGTCCAAGTTGTATTAATTCTTCTATATTAACAACAATTGCATTCTGTGTTCATTAATCATGTTTTCTATACTTTGGCTGGAGTAGAGATAAACTGAGCAGTCTATAACAAAATGGGCAATTCCCCAACTCATTTTTAAGTGTTATGTTTGGTGCTTTCAAGTATGTGAAAAATATTTAGATACCTATATTATTGTAATTATTTATTATAGATTAATAACAGTTTTTTTAACTATTCTAGTCCATAGAAACCCATCTAATCAGGAAATCCAGCAATGGTTTAATGTACATTGCTGAGTGGAAAGGTGGCCTCCTTGAACACAAAATGGGTCATCTTACTTGTTTTGCTGGAGGGATGTTTGTTCTGGGTGCAGATGGAGCACCAGCTGATCAAACTGAACATCACATTGAACTTGGAGCTGAAATTGCCCGCACATGTCATGAATCTTATGATCGTACAGGTAATTATAAATTGTTGAGTGCTGTTGTTCTGACTTTAAAATGTTGCTTATTCCTGTACTTGAATTCAAGGCAGTGTATTTGGCTTTTTCCAATCAAACTGATATCAATTGTGTAAGACATTTTTATTACATGTAGTTCCTACTTTTACATATAATAGAGTTAGAAGTATCCTTATAAAGTTTTCCATCTGTATAATGTACTTTATATTTGTAGGGGAAGTAGTTGGATTGCTTATAACAGAAATGAGAATATATGGCCCTCCAGTAATCCCAGCTAGCATGACCAATGTTGAGAAAGCTTTAATTGGATAACATCTAGGGAGCCAAATGTTACCCTCCCTTGCCTGTGACAGTGTTGTGCTTGGAATTAACAGTCTGATGTGAAGATTAGTATTAAAATTTTCCAGAATGCTGTCTAAAAATACTTGGTTAATATATTCAGAAACGGAGTAATACTATGTAGCAGAGAAACGGAGAAATTTTCTTAAATGGCTAATTGTGTGCACTGAAACTTAAGAGGAGACACTCTACGGACTGTAACACATCTGGAATCTTGGTAGATCAGAGAACCCAGAGTAAGAGGGAGAGGAATGTTTTTGCCATTCCCATTCTGATTGTTTTTCTTTTTAAATTCTTCTTCCCATGGGAGTTAATGGGAAAGAAAATAACAGACTAAGAATAACCAATTTGGGGGCCTATCATCAGACATCTGCCAATGTAGGTATCAGTCCATAGAACTTAATGAAGGTCAACCCAACTCCTTTACTGTAGATATATTGTCACAAAGCCATTCTTCATCAGTGGTGCAACATATCCATATCATTCTAATCTTTTCCAGCCATAATTTTAAGTAACAAAGGGAAAAGCTATCACGTTCCCTCACTCATTCTGAAATGCTAAAAAGTGTGCAGTATGAAACCTAGGTTTGCCACTGTTGAAATATAGCAAATTTCACAACCATCAATAAAATAAATATAAACATGAAAACATTCATGACAATAGGCATGCATGATATATTTCAACTCCATATATTTAAACATTTTGGTTTGTTTAATTTGGGGGTCTGCAGGTGCCATGGTGGGTTGTTGGGAATTCTGTGTTACCAGCTCCTGCCCTACAGCTGTCACATTTCTTTTTTTAAAATCCAATGTATTCCCCAGAATTTTTTGTTATATTTTGATATCTGAGTTTGATTTTCCTCGTTTTTGTTTTAATTTGATTAGTTGTGTAAAACTTACAAGAAATTGATTCAACAAAAATATGTTTTGAATACAATAAAACAATGTTTAGGAACATTTCATGGCTCTAGATCAGGGGTGTCAAACTGCCGGCCCATGGGCTGGATGCGTCATCCAAAAGCTGCACCCACCCCATTGCCGGCAATGGCAAAACCGTCCCGATACGTTGCACGATGTCATGTGACGTCGCGAGTTTGACATGCCTGCTCTAGATACCATTACACAATTTTGTAAAATGTTCCAGCTAACGCTCCCAAAAACATTTTTCTGTATTAGACCCTACCACTAGAAAAAGTATTTATGATTGCTTCAAACATTGTTTTTCTTATATCGGAATATTTCTCAGCTATTAAGTGCCAGAGCACAAACATCACACAATTTCCTATCATGTTGAGGCAAGAATCCCATTAAAGCTACTGTATAATGTAAAACTTTACAGAGTTCTTCCTCTTCTAATTAAGTAGAACAGATCTACTCACTTTTCATCATTTTTCTGCCTACTGTGGCCCTTCAGATTTCAAAACTGTTGAATGGCTAACAAATGTTTACCAACCTCCTTGTACAACAGGACAATCCTGTATTTTGGAGTTCAAAATTACAAGATGTTATATAATAATAAAGTAATTCATATATATTAAGATATTGTTCTTTGCTAAAACTTTTGAAAAGGCTTCATACCAGCATTGATAAAGCTGAATACTTTAATATTGTGTGTAGGTATGAAATTGGGGCCAGAAGCTTTCCGATTTGATGGTGGAGTTGAGGCAATTGCTACCAGACAGAATGAAAAATATTATATCTTACGACCTGAAGTTATAGAAACCTATATGTATATGTGGCGATTCACTCATGATCCCAAATACCGGCAGTGGGGTTGGGAAGCTGTAGAGGTAACACATTTAAGTTATTTCTTTGAAGTATCTCATAATTTATATATTTGCCATTTTAAAGAGTTATTTGAATTTAGTGCATGCAGGAATATACTGTTTAAATGGATTAGAAATATAATTGGTAGGCTGTGATTTATCTCAGACGGATAAAAGTCATTTGAGAGATTTCAACCATTTCCCATTTCTTATATCTACTGTTTAAGAAAAAAGAAAGAAAATGATAATTTATTATATTTAAAACATATTTAGCCATAGTTAATACAATTTTCATTTTTAATTTCACTTTTTTCTCTGTTTTTATCTTTAAAATCCAATAAATTCAAAGGAACAAGATGGGAAAAGAAACATTTGATTAATATATGATTTTCCCCCTAGTATTTGTAATCTCCAGACATTTCAATAGTTTCAGCTATTATTGATATAAGATGTCTAGACAAGATGATCAAGACAACTTTGAGTACAAACAGAATCCTTCATATCTAACAGAATTAAAATATCAAATGAATCCTCATCCTTTTTCTATCATCAGAAACCTTTTTCATCTTGAATTATAACCAGAATTTAAAGCTTCATGGTTCCTCAAGAGGGATTATAATCACTTTCTTGATCAGCATCAGTGTGGGGTTTGTGGCTCTTAATTTCTTTTTCCAGTTGTTGCAATGGAGTCTGCTATGAAAAAGACAACTACTAAAGACTACCCATCTGTCAGTTCCTCATCCAAATCCCAGTTAAAATTGTTCTCATTATTATCTTAATTATTTACATATGTTTTTATTTTCATTTAAATTAAGGCTACAACTTGTTCTACCAAAATGGATGCTTTGTCAAAATTGGAATAAAATTACCAATTTAAAAGGATAAAATCGATATGAGAATAAACATTTATCATGGTGTCTAAATAATGCAGTATAAAAATGTGCATCAGTTAAGATCTGTAGAGCAAAAGGTACCTAATGGAAACAATACGGGTAAACTACACATAATTTATTATTGTTGTTTATTCAAACAAGTCAGTTTCTGAATTAGAAAAAGGCAATTTCTTTGTTGCCATAAAAATAATGGGAGTTGTAGTAAGATACTTATTTTAATTTGACTCCAAATTTCAGTGCAGCGTGACTGAAGTGTTTTATGCAGAATATGCTATTATTGTGATAATTGCTGTAAGTTTAAAATTATGAAGTGGTATTATAGTGCAAATTACCCTACAATGTTTTGCACTGAGAAAGGTACTTATAAAATACCCTATTTTTTTTCTTTTTTTAAAATTCAGGCATTGGAAAAATATTGCAGAGTAGATGGTGGCTATTCTGGCCTGAGGGATGTTTACAGCAATCGTAAAAGCCATGATGACGTACAACAGAGTTTCTTCCTTTCAGAAACGCTCAAGTAAGCAGTTGAATAGATTTTTAAATGAGTTATGAATTAATACTTTGCTAGGTTGGAGCAGTAAGTAGCTCAAACGTCATAATTAAAATACAATCACCAGTCTCTTTTTCCCAGTGGAAGTTTGGATACTTCTCAATGAAATACTAAGCAAATTCTTAATATAATAAAGTCTCAGAATAAATAAAATAAATATGCTGTATCTGCTATGTATTTATAATTTTATAATGTATTAATAATGCATTTTTGATATTCTTTTCTAGGTATTTATATTTATTATTCTCTGAAGATGATATTCTTCCATTTGAACATTGGGTCTTTAATACAGAGGCTCACCCTTTCCCAATTATTAAAAGAGAAAAAGAGGAAAAAGAAAGCAAATAAAGCTGTTTTGAATTTTCTTTGGGTATATTATATGGCTGTTAATGTTCTAGCTGGCATTTTTTTAGTTTTAAATCAGGTTCTGTTTCATGTTTTGTTTGTTTTTTGCAGTCTGCTATCAACCTGGCAATTTTTCTCAAGGGACCTAATATTATTAATTTTAATTATTAATATTTATGTTTTCCCAGCATGTCACATGTCATCTCTAGATTTTGTTGACCATCAGTATAATAAGTATTTGGTCAAACAGAATACAGAATTCATTGTGTTACTTACTTTTTACTTTATGTTTAGACTGCAAAATTGTTTTCTCCTCTGTGAGGAGATGTCTGCTTTAAGCTGTAATACTTTGCTATGTTGCAAAAAGCCATAAAGAATTAAGTATGAAGAGCTTTTTTCTTTTTAAATCTGCTCCAGTGGGATTTGTCTGAACAGTGGAGACAAATCTAACTGTGACAGCCTTATGCGGGTCTATCATTAATTGGTAATCAGAATACTTAGAAAGATATACTATTCATATAAACCAGATATTGTTTTATCTTATCTGTATATACCATTACATTGAACTGTGGCTTGTCTTAGAAGCCTGGATTATGAATTCTTTTTCACTTATTTGCATATCAAGCCTAACCACAGATAATTTTGGAGCCCATCTATTTCTTTGTCTCTGAATTTGTTTCATAAACAACTGTGAAATTGGGTTGGTTTTTGGACATGGTTTCACAGACACCCTTTGAAACTGCACAGTTCTCAAAGCCTGTCTTGGTGAAAATAGAGTTTCAGCAGTATTTTCAACGAAAGGAAAAATCTGTTTCCTGTAAAACTTTAGTTGTTATGCAAGATGAACTAATCTATTGTGTGATATCCTTTTTGTGCTTTGAAATTTATCCTATTTAGTCCAATTCTGCGAGTCTGTTATTGCTATTTCCAACATTCCATTAACTTCATCTTCCACTTGACAGACATTGGGCACAATGATGTGGAAAGAGGAGGATAATATACCTCAGCGGTACCATGTTTTAGAAGTTCACACTGTGGCTCTAATTCTCTTTTGAAAGAATTGACCACAGTACTTTAATGCTTTACTGCAGGGGGCAGGGGAACCTAAACTGTTCCCTAGTTTATCAAAGTGATAATGTTGACTGATTTAGTTTAGTTTAGTTTAGTTTTGGAATGATCCTTTTTCCTGTTTACATTTGGGATGCTTCTGTAAATATTATAGTTTTAATAAGCAACATTAAAAAATGTGAGTAGGGATTGATTTTATATGATACGTCATGTTTAGCAGCCTTCATGTAACAAAGCAAAATTTTGTTGAAAAGAAAGCTGGGAATTGGTGTACAACAGAAGGGAACCTGTTGTGGTAGCCTTTCTTCATTATGTAGCTTTTAAAACTGAATTTTGGCTACCCTCTAGCCCTAAAAGTTTCATTGCAGTCCTAAAAATTGTATTTACTATACCGTGACACAGCCTCCTATCTGGACACTCAAATTAGTGCAAGCACGTTTATGCTGTCAAATTTAGCTATCTAAGTTTTGAACCAAGGTAAGATGAAACATTGCATAAACTTACTCCCTGATCCACAGACAACCTGATGATACATAACATTGTGAGTGTCTGCACTGAGGTGAGGCTTTTCAGAACTTGCTACGTTCTCAGTACAAATCATTTCCTCTGCAGTATGGCTTAGTCATGCTAGAGTGCTGCTGCAACATCACATCTCTATTTATGAAGCCTATGGATGATCATATTGTGCTAGGTTCTAGGCTTGGCTATAATGATGATCTGGTAGTCTGAATAGGGAGAACCAGAAGCAATAATTCCCTTTCATGCTCCTGCCCTCCCAATTTTACCTGAATCTTTTTCTGTGTCTCTCTGTCCTAGTTTGCATATTAAATTTCACACACCGTCCAAATCTTAAAAACTATTCTGAAAATCAAACATGGCAACTAAAAAAAATCAGCAAGTAAAATAATTGGAGGAACAAGGACATTCATGTATATTTGGAACAGGACTGTTACAGCTAGCAAACCATTATTAAGACATTTTTGTAAAAAATGATGTCATTTCTCGATTATATAGAATACTACTAACACGCTTATAATTTTGAGTATCAAACTGCTTCTCATTTGTTAGGCTCTTGTATTTTCTGTTTGGTTCTTCACATTAAGTTTTTTAAATGCTGATTTACAGAAAAGCAAATACAATTTCTGTTATGGAACATTGGGAGAAATTAATTTCTGCTTTATTTTTAGATTCAATGCCAATATGTATGACTTGGGGGAAAAATACAAATTACATCACAACCCATTTTTACATAGGGACAGTTGATTTTCTTGCCATAATAATGGAATAAGTAGTAAGGTTTCTTCTGGGTTACAGCAAGTATTATATTACAGATGTAACATAAAATTAATTACCAAATAACATTAACCTGTTTTATCAGCAAAGAAAGATAGCTTCTGTAGCTGCTCAGCATGTTAACTAGTAAGACATATATGCAGTATATAAATACACAGAGTGAGAATCAAACTATATACTGCTGTACAGGATTTATTATTAATATTATTCATCCTGTTACAAATCTACTGGTATTGATTGACCAAAATACTTTTAAAGTCAATGCACTTTCTGAAAGTAAGTGTAGAAGGGCAGCAATCATTTGTGTAGCTAATAATGTGCAATATTATCGGTTCAGAGGCATCACATTTTTTAAAATAAAAATTATGTAGCAGTTTTAATGTAAGAAAGTACAGTTGATTTCTAGTTCTTAACCTTTATTTTTCCAATTAAAGTGCCATTTTTACTTTCTTTGGGAGCCACCATTGATGGCAAAAGTCTGTTACAACCTCAAACCTTGAAATCCTTTTCATAAAACACACTGTAAGTTATTATTCCTCCTTATGACGCTGTGCACTGCCATGACTTGCCTTGCATCATCCAACAGATGATAGTTAAGTTCTTTTAGTCCTGTTCAAGAGCTTTTGAAAAACACATTTTGTTAAAACTTTTTAATTTCCTAAGAATAAACTCATAAAACCAGAAATGGTTACCTGATATGACTATCTCTGATGCAGTACTTCATGCTTGTTTTGTCAGTTGTTTTCCAAGACTCTACTTTTGGTAGGACCATCAATAGTCCTTTATTGTTTATCTTCCACCTACAGTATATCATGAACATATCATGTATCATATCATATCCTCACTGTTATATTTACGTGAAGATATTTGGAATAGCAAATAATTTGTTCCCCCTTTTTAAGGCTGTAATCCAAGGGTTTGCTTTTTTGTTGTTCTTGTGGGATTTTTTTTTTTTTTTTTTTTGGTTAATATAAGTGTTCCAAGACTATATATTATTGGACTCAAATATCTTTCACAGAAATGCTGTGTTAGGTATCCAACAATCCACTTCCAATACTATACCAGCTTGCTCCCCAAAATGTGCCAGTTTAAAAAAAATAAATACAAGGGAATTATTTCATTTATTCTCTCTAATCATTATATTTAATTTGTGAAGCTGATATTGGCTCATATGTGGCATTTCCCCTCCTCTCTTTTCGCTGCCACTCCAGCAAATACTGCATCTGGGTGCCATTTGGGGTAAATTGAACTCTGACTTGCTCACATGTAACCTTAAGGTATAATAGTCTGATTTCAAGTTCCCATATTGTGTGAACTTAGCCATTGTGATTTATTTAATAAATCATAGGCCAGTGACCCATGGCTTAATGTCTGTGAAGTTAATATTTTCTTGTAGTCATCTCTGTCTGCTTCTATAAATCAAATGAAAAATGATTTTAAAAATTATGCCCAACCCCCTTTCCATTCTTTAGAGGCAATTGCGCATAATCTCCTCAAACGTTTTTGAGGAGTCCTCAAAACGTTTTCGAGGAGTCCTCAAGTGTTTTTATCAATTTCATATTTCTTTTTAAAGAGAGTTGTAATTTTCTCATGGGGGTTATTATTTAAAAGAGCACAAAGTTTCTATAGTTCTATAACTTAGAGGTAATCAGGTTATATGTACAAGCTGCACTAATGTATCTTTTTTGTAAAGTGATGTAAGTAGACAAGAAGATTGTATGTCCCTTAGAATTGCTAACTATAAAAGAAACATTGTTTTATATCTTCAAAACGGCAAAGTCGAGTTTTACAGAAAACTGCCAAAGTATAACGTTTCAGATTGATTGCCATTTTAAAAGTTATTGCTAAAACCCTGAAATTATTTACAATGGTGTGAATAGCTTCAGATTATTTTTTTTAGAATTTACTAGCAACGTCACACAAGCAACTTTGGGATTCTCTTTTATCCTTCCAGAAATGACTGAATTAATGCTGATCACTGTGTATATAGTTTAACAATAAAGTAACTCTATTTTTTTTAAGTGTCTTTTCCAGATTAGACAGCGTCTAAATTTCCATTGCTTTTTAGCAAAAAAGCTAAATCAGCCACATTGATATGCACAGTGTGGCTGTTCAAATACTTAATATACAAAACCCTGGAATTTCTTAATTTAAGTGCTATGTGTGTTGTATGACAGCTTTGTAATCCCAAATGACACTTCGTTGGTAAAGTGAACTGATCATGCAGTCATTTTGTTATAATGTTTTTGTTTGTGCATATTCCACTTAGTCTTTTTCCACCTTTATAGAAATAACTGGTTACAAGAGATCAAAATGCTTAATTTTTAAGAACTATATTTGTAAAAAAAAAATCAATTGTGAATAAAGTCTTTTAATAAATGCTTTCATTTGGCAATGTGTTCATGTATGTATGGTTATTGAAGAGGCACAAATAATAAATCTGCAATAAATGGAGGAAGATCTGGGCTAATTACATGGAGGATAATGTGTCTGGTGTGAAAGGTCAATTTTGGCACTAGATAAGGGTAAAATGAATTCAAGAAAGGTTAGACTTAGTTTTGTAGCTACGTAGAGATTCTAGGCTGATTCCCCATTTGACTCCACCCCCAGGGTCTGCTACTCCTACACAAAACTAGGTTTGCTGGTTGATTATTTCACTAAAACACATAAAAAAATGAACATTAAGAGCCGAGGTGGCGCAGCAGTTAGAGTGCAGTACTGCAGGCCACTTTAGCTGACTGTGTTCAGCAGGTCAGCAGTTCAAATCTCACCGGCTCAAGGTTGACTCAGCCTTCCATCCTTCCGGGGTAGGTAAAATGAGGACCCAGATTGTTGGGGGCAATGTAAATATATATATATACATTGCTTACTGGTGTACACCGCTTAGAGAGGCTTGCACTTAAAGCGGTATATAAGTCTCATAAATAAATAAACATATAAACTTCCTAATCCATGACACACAGTCAACAATGTACAACAAATATTGCAAATATATTTCATTGCATTCATCCAGAATCTAAGAACAGGTTTTTCAAACATACTACCTGAACATTTTCATTTCACAATTGTATTGTTGAACTATTTAATCACCCTGTGATTAAATTGCCTTATATTGCCTTTGATAGATGACTTGGGTCAGTAGCATTTAAAAATTTGTAAACAAGCTATGAATCTATTCACAAAATGGAATGGAAATTGTGATTATTATAATGAAAACTCTACCAGAAGGTAAATTCATGACATTCACACCTAGCTCTCCAAGCACCTCAAATTTCTTTTCCTGTGCTCAAAACACAGGGAGGTGGTGGAAAGCTAATTCTCAGAAATTTGGACTGAACTTAGTGAAGGAAAGACTTGTGGGGATCCATCTGAGGTCCAAAAAGGAGTTAGGTTCAAGTCTTAGTTCAGAAGACTTCAATCGCTGCAGGTATATGCTGAGCTCCTTTGGAGAAGTAAAAGGATTGTAAGGCCGACACTGTTTTTGTGCATTTAAAGTGAGATTTGCATTTACTGTAGCTTGGAAGACAATCCCCAGATATTTGAAGGTCTTGACTCATTAGCAAGTCCTATGCTAAAAAGTGTATTGCCTAAGATCTTAGCTAAGGTTATTCAGAGATTACAGTAGGAAGTTTTGGTAAGAAAGGGACAATGTCACTCTATCTTTACAGGTCATATACTCATGGATAGAGCTTAGACGTCACCTACCTACGTGGATAAAAATCAATCACTGAAAGTTTATGTCTTCAATATAAATGGTGAATGCAATACTTTAATATTAAAAATCTTGGCAAAAGTAGAGTTTTGTTTCTAGCATGAGGGGATCCTGATTTTTTAATATAGTGATTAGTGGAATTTAACATAAGAAAGGTTGTGAACCTCTGACATATAGCAACATTCACAAATTTTCTGCCCCTCTTGTAGATGGGTTAATAGAAGTCAGAAATGTGCAACTGCTCCCTCGTTAACGGTTAAGCTTGGCCTGTGGTGTACGGGGAAGCTGTAAGTAGAGCCGGGGGGGGGAATCAAAACTCAAATTTGTCTCATTTCATTTAAATGAAATGTAATTGCAATTAAACAGTTAATATGACTAGTTATACATGTTTAATAATTTCCCTCTGCTATTCAATTAAAAAAAATTGGGATGTGAGGGTGGGGATAATACCTTGTAGCCTTACACTTTACATTTCTGTGTTAAATGATATCAGCTAATAGAGCTACCTTCCAAAGAAAAAGAAAAAAGAATGATCATTAACATAATTAGTAGTAAAATGAAACAATTAAAATCTGCCTATTTGATAAATGCAGCACTCAATTATTCCAGCCAAGACACAGCTCTCCCAAATCATTGAGTAAAGTCATAAGCTAGGTTACTAATTAACATAAATCAGTCAACATTTTCTCTGACCCATAAAATCATTACAAATATGAGATTGCTATTTACAAGCCTGCTAGCTATTTCAGCAGGCTTGCTTCAGTAGAGAGCTGCTTATCAGATTCAAAAGCAATAATTTTTAACTTCAAATAAAAAGAGCCCTTTATAAATTGTGATGTGGATACAAATCTTCAAGGCTTGCTCAGGACCCATGGATTTGGTGGGATGTAGGGGACATGATGGCTTAGTGATTAAGATGCTGGGCTTGTCAACCAGAAGGTAGGCAGTTCAAGACCTAGGTACCATGTGATGTGGTGAGTTCCCATGAATGTCCCACTCCTGCTAACATACCGGTAGCAGTTTGCAAGCATGCTAATTGCAAGTAGATAATAGGTACCACTTCAGTGAGAAGATAACAATGTTCTGTGAGCCTCAGCATATAGTCATGACAGCCACATGACCACGGAAACATCTTCAGACAATGCTGGTTCCCTTGGCTAGGAAACAGAGATGAGTACCACCTCCTAGAGTCAGACATGACTGGACAGGGAAAATCTTTTTTATCTCTTAAATATGGATGAAAATGGGTCTCCACACAAAGCATCAATAATTGCAAATAAGAGGTCTGTACCTGTGTATGTGAAAACCTTTTTAAAAACACAGATACATCGTATGCAATATTTTGGAAGCTATAGCTGCAGACACACATAGTGAACCCCCTAGCAATTCATGGTTCTCCCATATCCCTTTTCCTTTTTGTGAAAAATGACATCTGATTTCTAGGATTTGCGTTATAGCAATAGCAATAGCACTTAGACTTATATATCACTGCACAGTGCTTTTATAGCCCTCTCCAAACAGTTTACAGAATCAGCGTATTGCCCCCAACAATCTGGGGCCTCATTTTAACCGACCTCAGAAGGATGGAAGGCTGAGTCAACCTTGAGCCAGTCAGAATTGAACTCCTGGCAGTGAGCAGTGAGTTTAGCCTGCAGTACTGCATTCTAACTACTGCACCACCACAGCTCCTATTATCTGTATGATTGTTTGGTTGTGGTCAGGATGAAATCCTCACCCATGAAACTCTGCAGATGAGCTTAGTCCACTCACCATTTTTCATTTTATTCTATCTTACACAGATGATAAAGAGATGAAAGAACTGCTTTGAAAAAAAAATGCATTAAAGATAGGGGTTTTTTTTAAAAAAAAATGCTGAAATAGCAGCGACTCAGATGACTACATCAATTCCCCCTTCATCAGTCATTTTATATATTAATATCTTTTTACCTGTCATTTTCTTGTATTAAATCCCACTCTTTGAAAGACTTAACCTTCAAACAACTGTTACTGATTTCCAACAACAACTACAATCACATCATTGTTTTCACATCACTGAGCACTGAAAAGCTTAAGTTCTCCCAAGGGGATGTCGACTTGGCCAACCTTGATTTTCCATTTCTTGGCCTAGAATGAATTAAAAAAACTATAAAGGATGAGGTCCCTTTCAGCTATTGCCCAAAAAGGCTGAACTTAATCAAGAATTTGGAACAAATTATAGGATAGACTCAACATTTCAAAATCACATTGCTCAGGGGGGCTGCCAGAAAAAAGAACAAAGCTCTTTTTGGTATTCTCTAAACTCTCGCAAGGTCCTCCAGGTTGCTTTTATATTTCTGTATATGGAATCAACAGAGGTGTCAGGAGGACAGATGCTGACAGGTCAGAGGGGAAGAATGGGGCTTTACAAGAATAAGGAATTAATTGGAAAATGTAAATGGAACAAACAGAGGAGCAGATGGGACGGGAGTTGGAACTCCTTTTTAGGTTATATCCCCAAACATTTAGTTTCAAAGGCAATTTTGTTTATATAACCCAAAAATTATGTACTGAGCAATGCTGCAATTAGAAAAGATACACAGATAATGTACATTGAGAAGACTTACATTGTTAATATAACCCCTTCTTTTTTCTGGAAATTCAGTTTAATCTCTTAAGAAACAGTGCTTTCTAGTTCAATGAATCTGAACTAGAACCAAAGAGAGTTTTCAGAACACAATAAAATAGGTCAATGGGGGAGGAAATGAGACCACAAAAAGGTCAATTAATTCAATCATTCCATCCTCAGGAGGTTAGATAAACAGACCAAGTCATGCATAGGGTTAAACTACTACCCATCAGCCATGAGGGTTCACTAGCTTTCTTCTGTCTGTGATCATGCAAACTGTGTGGGAGAAGTTGAACACTGGTAATTAAGAGATGGGTAAGATTCCACCCTAAAAGTCCTCTACTGGGGCTTCAAGTGCACAACCATTGGTGGGTGAGCAGGGGGGTGGAGTGGGACAACTCGCTGAGGCCAACTGGCTGTGGCTAATTTGCTGTAGGACAACTTGTCGCAAAGCAATTTAACAATTCAATTCTATTATTTAAAATAAATTGTTGTCATTCACATTTCATTCTGTCCCTGTTTTTGCATCCCTTCTTTAATGATTCTGTTCCACCATTTCTTTGATATTAGTGTAACTCTTGTCCTGTGGCAAGTTGGCCATGGCAAGTTGTCCTGCAGTGAGTTGACCACGGCAAGTTGGCTGTGGTGGACTGGTTGTGGTGAATTGTCATAGACCCAACTCTAGGGGGGGGAGGGAGGAATAGTTGCTTTAACTTAAAACAAAGAAAGAAAGAAAAATGACAGCTTGCAAGTTCCTGCACAGCAACTGGAAGAACTAAATCAATTACAGCCCAGACCCTGTCAACCCAAGTAGTGTGCTTCCACACTTCACAAAGATGAATGTCTGACCAGAAGAGGTGGTTACTGAATTGTTTATTTTGTGGGGATGGAGATTTTCTGGAAGAAGAATGCAAGGGGACGTTGATGTTGTGCTTCATATTAACACAATGGGGTATTGTTTATGGATTCTTCTACATCTGATCAGCCAGCTGATTTATAGCAATTATTTGGATAAAAGAGAAAATGGAAATATTTTTTTTTCTAACCTGATGCTGAATAACCACCTTGGTTCTGGCAATAAA